ATGTCTATAGGACATCATTTCCCTTTAATGTTCACTAGGTATGACATATTATTTGCACTAGAAAATGTTCATTGCTCTGTATTATTAGTGTGCATGAAATCATTACCGGCACACACATGTTCAACTGTTCATGGCAGGAGCTTTTTCTGCCATTAGAAAGGGAGGGGATGGGTAAGTTCCAACTCACAGGTCAAGTCCGAGTTGAATCACCAGTGTGACTTAAGTCAAACTTGACAGTGAGTCTAGCATCTCAAGTCTCCATTCTTGGCGTATAGTTACTGTGTTTCCCCGAAAATAAGACAAGGTCTTATATTAATTTTCACTCCAAAAATGCATTAGGGCTTATTTTCAGGGGATGTTTTATTTTTTTCATGCACAACACTCTGCATTTATTCAAATGCAGTCATGTCATCTTCTGGTTGCTGTACAATGGTGGAGGGTGGGGTTTCACTTAACTGGGCTTTGTTTTTCGGGTAAGGCTTATATTACAAGCATCCTGACAAATCATGCTAGGGCTTATTTTCAGGTTAGGTCTTATTTTCAGGAAACAGGGTAACTGACTAAGAAGCTTTGGTTTTCAGGAGCCATTCCATGATAATCTCTCCTCGTAATTGTTTGTTACTCAGCCTTGTTTTGACCATTATATTTATAATCTTTTTGTCCGTTGCCACCATCTTGATTTTTTAGATTTCTTGTCTTTTATATTATATTCCTTTCTTTATATTTTTGGGATTGGCTGGGATTTTGTTTTATTTATGTATATTTTATTGCTGGAAACTGCCCAGAGTAGTGGCAAGGCCACTAGATGGTGCGGTATAAAACTATAATAGATAAATAAATAAACAAGGCAAACCTCATTGTTTGAATCATCAGACTCACTGTAATTGAGATTTAATTATACTCAAATACCTGGTTTGTATTTTCCAATTTTTTAAAAAAAGCTCATTTTCATTAGAAAACTAACGCTAAAGGGGGGGGGGCTTGAACTTCAACATTGTATTTAAAGGCTTTCTTTCTTTCTTTCTTTCTTTCTTTCTTTCTTTCTTTCTTTCTTTCTTTCTTTCTTTCTTTCTTTCTTGTTACATACACTTTTTTAACATGGAAAAGCATTCAGCTCCACTGGCAATCATTTAGTAGTGTGTTCTTTTGTATGAAATCATTTTTTGCATGCCCATTTCTAGCCTGTGAAGTAAAACACAACTGAGACAGGAGTTAAATCTGTGAAGATTCTCAGTCCTCCAGGTGTGGTTATCTAGAAATTGAGTCATGACAACTGGACTCAACTAACGCTGAAGGGATGGGCAATGGAGGGGGGGGACTTGAGTGAAAATCCCACCTCTGCAGTCCTTTTCCACCCATTGGCCTGGTTGTTAACAGTCTTTAACAGTGGTCTTTCTGGTGGGTGTGGTTCTGATCTTTCTGGGGACAGATGAAAGGGCAGCATGATAAACAGAAGACAGATTGTATCTCAGGCCTCCACCCCTGTTGAGTGAGGGATTTTCTATATGGCCTCCATGACCCCTCTCTCAAGCCATCTACCTTCTCAGTCTAAAATGAGTACCTCTTGGTCATCAAATGAGCGTCCTTTGTCCTTCAAATGAAGGAACACTGCTGATTGTGGTCCTGAATCATTGCCCCTTCTGTGCTGGGCCATTCTCCTGTTTAGTGGCTGTTTGGCTTCTCTAATGTAGAGCGCCGAACACTCCTCTTTGCATTGGACTGCATACACTATGTTGCTCCTGTTGTCCAAAGCCTACACTCTTTGAAACATCTGGCTGGATTTTTAATAGCTATCTGTGTAATTTAAAGCTGCAGTTATGTATCTAGTTATCTTGGAATAACTCAGTTGAACTCAGTGGGACTTAATAATTCTCGATGGACCTGTATAGATATGCTGTTATTGGTCTGTGAAGTCAAGTATGAGTCTTGTCATATCCTCAGATCTGTTTCGAACCTATCATCTCTCAAGGTTTAGTAGCACAGGGCTATTTCTACTTTATTAAGCAGTGGAGAAGAACCTATCTTAGGATTTGTTCGCATATGTATCTTTTATTCACAAAAATGACTTATTTGTGGCAGTGATTATCTTTAAAACTAGTATCTTTCATTAAATGATTTCTTGTAGAAACCATTGGATGGCGCTGTAATACCATTACTGTGAAATATTGGATTTAATGCTTTTTAGGACTCAAAGTTGCAGCAAAAGAGTATTATAGGGCTGCTTCATATGCAAATATTGCCTACAATACATAGAGATAGCCATATACTTATATCCATATACTCACTGCAGAATAAATTCTTGTATTACACTGCATAATATGTGCTTTTCTCCCGGATCATGAAAATAAATAGGCTTAGCTTATCATCCTGTATTTCATCCCATTCGTAGAAAAGTTTATAACTCAGGCTTTTCTTTCATCTTGCTATTGAAAAAAGAGTTTTTACTGCCAGGGTTGAACTTCTCTCTTTTTAAATTCTATTCCTGATCCTTTTAAGGGTTTATTGAATATTGAGTATTTGTATAACTTCAGTGGGTATTAATAAAGCTTTAGTTGATCTACAAAAAGTGTTTGTCTTATAAAATTAAGAGTACAGTTTTGTGCACACTTGCCTGAAAGTAGGTCTAGTTGAACTTATGGCACTTACTTTTGAGTAACACTGTTAGCCTACAATCCTAAACACACCTAGGAAATAAGACTAATAAACACACCTAGGAAATAAGACTAATTAAACATAGAGGGTTAAATACATCAATGTATGTGTTCTATACTCTCAAGTTAGAATCAGCGAATACTAACACTAATAGGACTTTCAAAGGAAGTAAAAAATCGAAGGATTAGTTTTACCAATGCTACTCCCCCCAGTGAATTTCCATGGTGAAGTGAGGATTTGAACCTGAGTCCTTGTTGACCTCTTAATACTCATTATACAGAGTATTAAGTTTCACGTTCAGCAGACTGATTGAATCACGAAAAGTTACATAAGTGGTAACTGACGAAGATTCTGACTGTTGTGTCAGTGTGTTGGCGCTTACAGTTGGATTCAGGCCAGTGGGATTTACTCTCAGGTATACGTGGGACAGGAAGCAACAGTTAGAACTGGATACGGAAACACTGATTGGTTCAAAATTGGGAAAGGAGTACGACAAGGCTGTATATTGTCCCCCTGCTTATTTAACTTATATGCAGAATACATCATGCGAAAGGCCGGACTGGAGGCATCCCAAGCCGGAATTAAGATTGCTGGAAGAAATATCAACAACCTCCGATATGCAGATGATACCACTCTGATGGCAGAAAGGGAGGAGGAATTAAGGAACCTTGTAATGAGGGTGAAAGAGGAGAGCTCAAAAAATGGTCTGAAACTCAACATCAAAAAAACTAAGATCATGGCCACTGGTCCCATCACGTCCTGGCAAACAGAAGGGGGAAGATATGGAGGCAGTGACAGATTTTACTTTCTTGGGCTCCGTGATCACTGCAGATGGTGACAGCAGCCCCAAAATTAAAAGACGCTTGCTTCTTGGGAGGAAAGCAATGACAAACCTCGACAGAATCTTAAAAAGCAAAGATATCACCTTGCCAACAAAAGTCCGAATAATCAAAGCTATGGTTTTTCCTGTAGTGATGTACGGAAGTGAGAGCTGGACCATAAAGAAAGCTGACCGCCGAAGAATTGATGCTTTTGAATTGTGGTGCTGGAGGAAACTCTTGAGAGTCCCCTAGACTTCAAGGAGAACAAACCTATCCATTCTAAAGGAAATCAACCCTGAGTGCTCACTGGAAGGACAGATCCTGAAGCTGAGGCTCCAGTACTTTGGCCATCCCATGAGAAGAGAAGACTCCCTGAAAAAGACCCTGATGTTAGAAAAGTGTGAGGGCAAGAGGAGAAGGGGACGACAGAGGATGAGATGGTTGGACAGTGTCATTGAAGCGACCAACATGAATTTGGCCCAGCTCCGTGAGGCAGTGGAAGACAGGACTGCCTGGCGTGCTCTGGTCTATGGGGTCACGAAGACTCGGACACGACTAAACGACTAAACAACAACAGACCGTGGATAGGACTGTAGTGTAAATAAAATATTCCATGAAAAGAATATGCTATTTCTGTTTGTTGTATCTTACCTGTGTATTTCAGTTGCAGGACAGTTATACATAGGACAACATACCAGCATGACTCTTGTATATAGAGATAACATACATTGTTTGAATTGTCTTGTTTCAAGTCTCAGTAACACTAAAGGGTAAATGATAGGACTGCTGGCTCAGAAACTATATCAAAATGGATTTAACATTTTATTTTAAAATGTGTGTAGAATAGAAAACATAGAAATGTGTACATTTAGGTAAAATATGCTCAAAATGCTTTTTTGAAAATGAGAAAATGTGGAAAAATACAGATTTAAACATTTGTATACAGACATCTGGTCTTCTTCCCATATGCATTTCTCTTCAAATGAGACAGATCATACTTTTGAACAAACATGTTCACACATACTAGAAATACATATGCATAGTGAAATACATAGCCATACCTTTATAGTGGCCTATAAAGGTAGCACCTGTTCTTGGATTTGTATTTTGTAATGGCCACACAGCTCTCACACCCTTTTATTTCAAGAGAAATACATAGATTTTCATCCCTGTTTGTTGGATCCAAAGGGGAAGTTCCTGATAGAGAACTTTTATGTCTAGTATGATTGTATCTATGTTTATGACAGTTGTGTCAATCATGATTAGTTTCTCAGAAGAGAAAGCAAAAGCTTGTAGGATATGAGGTATGAATGTCAGTTTACAGATATAGCCCTGTGCACAGCATGCTGATTACTTGACATAAACAGTAGCTATCATCTTAAGTTCTTGTACATCTGTATGATACAATATGTTGTATTACATGTGTATTAAAGGCAGAGCAGTGATCTGGTTGGGCTAAATTTGCAGTTGGCTATTATAAAGAAAGTCGAGATTTCTCACAGTATAATGCTTATCTTTTTCTTTTAGCATGAAACGTATCCTACTATGAAGTATAAAGGAGTGCATTTTGGCAACTTGACAGAAAAGCGATACAGATTTAAGCCACATGATGGCCCTGGACCAGCAGACTATGATGTAATTCAGTATGTAATTCATTTACTGTTTTGTATTAAAATGGACCTTTTTCCCACAACTTGATTTCTGGGCTAGCTTAGGCAACATTATAAATCATGGTTTGTTGTAGTGGGAAGAAGCTGTAGCCAGCCTCTGACTTCTTTTTTCCTTCCCTGATGTGGCCATGGGAAAACTGAAGCTTTCACTTCCATTTTTGATCAGTCTTGTTGTCTTCTCTAAACTTGAATAAGTGTCTTTAATTATTTTTTGTTTAATATGTGAAAGAGTCAGACTTGTAGGTTATGAACCTTACTTTTTTCAAAGAAACCATCATTATCTGGTGAGATCAGCATCAATTTTCAGTGAGCCACAGCTTTATCCATTTGACAGCTTTCTTTTTACAGATGATGCTTGTTACATGGCTTGTTAGTCAGTACACTCACAATGCTGATCAAAAAGCAGAAATATCTGCTATAGATACTGAGCGCCAGATTGCACACAAGGACACTACTCAGCTGTAAAGCGGTAATATGTGAAGTTTAAAGTGCTGAACTCTCCATAGCTTGAAGCCTCTCTCTGAACTACATTTCTCCCAGTTAAGCTCACTTCTGGATGAGAGGGAAATGATCTAGCAGAGGAAGTGGTGGATGGGCTTGTTTTAGTCCCCACTTTTTTGAGTGCTTCCTTTTGTTCTCTAAGCTATAGTCCCACAATGCCATCACTTTAAAAGATGAGGCTATAAGTCAAGCTATCTGTTCCTGAATTGGAGATGTAGCTGCAGATATAAATCACAGCACTAGAGTTTTTTTTTTAAAAAAAGCATTAATGCTGGAATAAATCTTGAACAGATTAGTAATGGTAAAGCAGAATAGTAATAACTGAATTAATTTTTCTTAGCTGTGCATAGATTTGCCTTATTCGACTACTGCAGCATCTGTTCCAATTTAAACTTTTTCTCACATGTTGTAAAAAGGAAGTGGGAGGATGTGTTGAGAGTATATTTGCTATACTTTGAATGTGTGTGCATAAACATGTACTAACAGAAATGTTTTAAGCTGATTTAAGAAAGAATGTGGCTTCCTGGAGAGAACTGGTGGAAAATTAACAGAATTTAGTACTCTTAACTCTGGATGAAAAACTTAAGATAGGCCAAACTTAGTTTAGAAAAATACTTTGTATTTACGTATGTATTTGATTTTGATTTTGATTTTATTTAATTTATATCCCGCCTATCTAGTCACGGTGGACTACTCTATGCTACACTATATATGGATAAGCTGTAACTTAAACAGCTTATCCATATATAGTATAGCATAACAGCATACAATAAGTAGTTACTCACAACCCAGTATAAAACAACAACATGACTCTTATACCAGAACAGTATGACTGCTCCTTTACCAGAACAGTAAAGGAATGCTCTCACAGAGCTACCTTTATACAGAGAAAAAGCCTCTGTAATCAGCAACACTTGCCCGAGGCAACTCAAGCCTTTGACTCTGCCTGTTAACCAGCAACAGGTGTATGCTTGCACTTTACATGCAGCCTTTCTTACATATTTTACTTACATGAGTACATTTCATATGTTCATGACTTTAATTTACAATATAGCGACCTGATCCATTACAAATATCTTAACAGGATGAATCGTGCATTTGTTTATTTTAAATACACTCCACAATGTTTGCCCACGATGTGTAGTAGTTATGTAAATAGAGACCTCTTGTGTGCCACCTGAAAAATACTGAAAAGCTTTTAAAATTTTAAGAGCGTCATCACATTGCACAAAGCAGCTTGTATGTGCATACTATACATTTTTCTGTTTCTGGTTTTCTTGAGGTGTTATTTTCCATCTGTTACGGCTACACAGATTCTTGGATTTGCTCTGTATGCACAGTTTTAAAATTTCAGTTCAACTCTGGCAAGAAAATCTAGAAAGAAATCTAATTGATTTAGAGCAGCCATTTTCAACCTTCTTTTCTGGCCATGGCCATAAACACAATATGAAATAAATATAGGCCAAATCAGGAATGTATAAGTTACATACCTTATAAGGTGGTGAAGAATCGTTAATAGCCTGTGGCACCCTTCAAAATGTGCCATGGCGCTAATTGAGAATGGCTGATTACAAATATAACAATATGTAAGTATATTAAGTCTTACTAGTGAAGAAAATGGCTCCTCTTTTATTTTGTAGAAGGTAGCTATTTGTAATGCTACTTGTAAGATAAAGGATTGAAAACTTTCAAAATGGATGTTTGGTTCCCCAGTCATCTAGAACACTGGTTCTTAACCTTGGGTTACTCAGGAGTTTTGGACTGCAACTCCCAGAAGCCTTCACCACCAGCTGTCCTGACTGGGGTTTCTGGGAGTTGCAGTTCAAAAGCATCTGAGTAACAAAGGTTAAGAACCGCTGATCTATAAGATATAAATCATAAATTTGGCCCATTACCTGGGAGAAGGAAGAATATAAGAGCAATAAATGAATAAATGAATAAATATCATTCTCTTAAAACATTTTACAGAGAAAATGCAGTGCATTATGAAAATGTCAACATCAGAAGGGAAGACCAGAGAAAGGCTGATCTCTTTGTCCCACGGTATTACGATGTGATAGTATTACAGGAGGAAAAAAAGGTAATGCCAATCTTTGGTGGACTATCTAAAAATATTTGTGGTAGGATCAAACTTTGGGATTTGTACATTTAGAAAGGACACTAAATGTTAAAAAGCAAAAAAACATTTTTCCAAATTTATGGTGGAAGAAAAAAAAGGTGTTCACAGTCTGCTCTATAATTTTGAAAATATTAAAAAAGCCCTTTGACAATTGTGCCTATATGATTCTTATAATGTACTGGCTTATCAGTTTTGAAAAATGAATGAAATCAGAAAAATCGTGCAGCAGTTTTTTCAAAGTAAGTTATTTAGAAATGCATATGCATCCTTCTTTGTGGAATACAACTTTGACCTTGAATGGCATTCACTTTATTTTGTCCAGTGTAAAATAACTGTCACTCAAACTTGCTATGGTTTAGAAAATAGTTTAATATTCATTCAACACTTAGCATATTCCATTGTAGTGAACCCCAGTATGCCAATCACATGTCTATAGCTTGATCTGCCAGTACACTACAAGTAAATGTACGTGGGTGATTTGTTATTTTGAAATGTTTGCCAACTGGATATTCTTGCGCAGTTAAAAGTTTTTAATTGTTTAAATGTCCACACTCTTTAACAGTGGACATAATTTGTACTACATTTCTAGCAGGCATGTTGTTCTGTCTTTAAGGACAATAATAAGGTATTGTCTTTCTTCCCTTATCAAACCACACCTCTACCCTGTATTTTCCCTTGTGTTGTTAGGGTCTTCCAGGCAATTGACTACATATGTTGGTTGTGTCTGTTGCTGGAAGATAAGAGATGTGGCTGTTGTCATTCATGTTTAGGTGAATATTACATTTAGCTATTGTAATGTTTTGTTGAAAGTCTGCCCAGTGACTGCCAGGTTGCCTTGTGAATACGTCAATGTTGAAAGTACAGTACATGTTACTGACACACAGTCTATTATGTTCACAGAAGGACATCAGTCGCTCACCTTTATCACTAAAGCTAGCTGAAGACACACAAACTGTAATCACAATTTCTAGTCCATATCAATTGCTACCTAGTTGGGTATTAAAGTCCCCAATAAGGATCTTCAGGTTATGATTTGGGGTGCTGTCGAAGGTGTCCTGGAGTTGCTTGTAGAATTCATCCTTCACTGTGTCACCGGTATCCGTTGGCACACAACCTTTATAATAGTCGCTTTGGCATGCCCATAAGTGAAGTGGGCTATAATTATTCAATCACTGACTGGTTTCCACCTAATGAGCACCCTTGTTGTCCATTTACTCAGAACGAGGCCAACGCCATGCTCATGTTGCTCTTTATGGCCTGTATACAGGATGATCTGAAAATTAAAATGGGATCAAGCCAAAGATGTAGAAGAAGTGGAAGAAATTAGCAGATAATATACAGAGCTTGACCAGCTGGTGAAGAAAAGCCGCAGGAAGGACAAGAAGGAATGGCTGGAGTGGAAAGGCACTGAAGTACAAGAAGCAGCCAATCGAAATGATTCCAAAACCCTTTACTGTATTGTTACTGTATCTGACTGGAACAAGAAAGAGCTTTAATATTCTGATCAAAGACAAGAATGGGAAGCTTCTGGTCACCCAAGAAGAACAAAATAGAAGATGGGTTGAATATTCTCAGGAAACCCTCAACCAGCCAGACCTAACTAGTACATACATCCTCAATGAAGAGAATGCTCAACAAGAACTCCAGGTGAACACTGGTGAGATCACTATTGAAGAAGTTAAGATTGCGATTGGAAGCCTTAAAAACAACAAGGCAGCAGGCTTGGATGAGATATCAGCAGAGATATTAAAGTATGGTGGGCAGGCCATGGCAGAAGAGCTGACAAAGCTGTTTAGCAAGTGTTGGTGATGTAGTTCTTACGTATTGGTGAAGAGGTGCCATTGTCAAAGTCCCCAAGAAAGGTAACCTCTCTGAATGTACCAACTGGTGAGGCATCACTCTTCTCTCAGTGCCTGGGAAGGCATTTTATGTAGTTAGGCAGCTGTGAAATGCCCTTGACCAACGCCTGAGAGAGGAACAAGTTGGACTCTGCTATTGAAGATCCTGCACTGTGCAAATCTTTACCTTAAGAAACATCATAGAACAGTGCATTGAGTGTCAGCACCCATTAACCTTAAACTTTGTCAACTTTAAAAAAGCATTCAGTAGTGTCCACCAAGAGTCCCTTTGGCAGATCCTGTGTCTGTACAGCATACTGATAGTCTTTGTTACCCTCTTTAAGAACTTGTATTAATGATTGAGCTGCTGCATTAAGATCGAGAATGGCCATACAGATTTCTTTGAGATCACCACAGGGGTCAGACAAGGCTGTATCTTGTCGCCACTCCTCTTCCTTGTGGCCCTTGATTATATCATGCTGTGTACTGTACTACACACTGGGATAGGCATCCACTGAACTGACCAAAGTTCTCTTAGCAATCTGGGTTTCACTGACAATATCACCTTGCTTGAGGAAGATGAACTGAAACTGCAGCATGCCAGGACTGTCCTGGATGAAGAGACAAATAAAGTTGGCCTCAATATAAGTGCTGAGAAATTAAAAATCATGTCCATGAGATCCATGGTCCCAACATAGGGAATTGTACTTGGACAGCAGCAGCTAGAGGAAGTGGAGAAGTTCACTTATCTGGGCAGTATGATTGTCTGGAATTGGGATGCAGAAGTGGACATTAAGTGCTGTATTGGTAAAGTGATAACCGTCTTCCAGAATATGAACACCTTCTGGTCCTCACCATCCATATCATTGAAGATTAAGCTCTGTCTGTTTGCCTCTGTTGGGATTGTGTCAGCTATTTATGCCAGTGAGAATTGGAAGGTGTCAGCAAGTATCAACAAGAGGCTTTATGTCTTCCAGCAGAGGTGTCTCAACTGAATCTTAAAGATCTGATATATTAATCACTTTATCAATGAGGAGGTGCTCCGAAGGAGCAGCTGGAGTGAACATTGTCACACATGGAAGACTCCAACTGGCTGGCCATATTTTTCGTGTGGAGAACAATCGTATCCCCAAGGTAGCAATGAGGTGCGTCTCCCTGGCACCAAACAACAACAATGAGGACACCCTCGAATATTGCTGTTGAGCAATATTCACAAGCCTTCATACTGATCCAACTAACTTCCATTGCATTTCTGGGCCAGTTCAAAATGCTGGTTCTTACCCTTAAAGCTCTAAACAGCTTGGTAGGAGATTATTTTTGAAAACCCTTCCTCTCTAGAAATCCTTTTACTGGTACTTAAGATTTTAAAAGAAAATTTTGGTCTGAATTTGGTTTTATGAAGAAGCTATGTTAAGCTTCTACTAAGAGCAGGGTTTTCTCTCCACCAACCTCATTGTTATAGAATGTACTAGAAAGAAAATTCACAGATTTGCCCTGCTTGCTAGCTTATATCAATTTTGTTTTTGCTTGAGTTGGATTTTGGAAATTAACTGCTTCCTTTCCTGAGGAGTGAGGAAGCAGACAGGCACCCTTTTCACTGGCCAACAGTTAACTGAAAGTTCACTTTTTGCACTTTCCCTGCCTCCCACGTGGGTTTTTTTTCAGTTCTTAACTCAAATTTAAGTACTTAAGTCAAGTCAATATTTTCCTATGAGAGCGGTTCTTAAGTCAAAATGTTCTTAACTCAAGCGGTTCTTAAGTCAAGACCCCACTGTATTTCCTGTTTATTCTATGTGTTTTTGTGAACCACAAACCAAACTTAAATTTAATGAAGTAATACTTAATTTAAAAAACCCAACAATACTGCACTGTTGTTGTTTTCTGCTCAAATAGTTTTGTGTTCTCAACTGATGGATGACCCTATTCTGCCCAGCTAGTGGCCTTGCATAATGCAAGCCTAGGCATGTAGTTTACTACAATTCTTTAAAAAACAGATTGTTTTCAAATTCTTACAACATTGGAAAACTGTTTATGATTGCTGTTGTTGCATGATCATAACTGTTATGTACATACAGAAATATAATGGCTGAAATCAAGTAGTAAGTTGCCACTAGAGTAGACACACCAAATGAATGGGGATTTGCCATCTCCTCTATAAATTTCACTGACTCATTGGGCTTATTTTAAGTATGACTTACTACTGGATTTCAGCCATTAAAAAAAACTACAGCATACTAAAAGTAGGACAGTTTCATGGAATAAAAATTGTATCCCAAAAGCTATGTAAATTAGAAAGATATTAAGTGTCCAGAAAACAGACAAGTAAGGTACTCTCTGAGAAATATGCTCCCTTAGACAAGTGGTCCCCAAACATTTGACACCAGGGACCAGTTTAATTGAAAGACCATTCTTCCCAGGTCTTGGGGAGGGGGCGTACTTGTTATGCAGTAGGTTGTTGGAGGATAGCTTTGAATCAGGCTCATAAAGGAAATGGCGAGCAGGAGCAGGAGGTGAGCTGCAGTTGAAGCTCTGCCTTCTGTTAGATCAGCAGCGGCTGAGAACCTAATAGGAATGCAGGCTCCCATTAGATTCTAATGCCACAGGTACAGCTGATCTAGCAGCACCAGGAGGGGAGCAGGGAGCGAAGCTCCGCCTCCTGTCAGATAATCAGCAGCATTAGAACTTTATAGGAGCATGCTGACAGGAGGCAGGGCTTTGCTCACCACTCACCTCCTGCTCACTGCTTATTTGTCTTGGTGGCCTGGTCCTTCCAAGGCCACAGATCAGTACCCGTCCGTGGCCCGGGGGTTGGGGATTCCTGCCTTAGACTGTTACTTGCCATGAATTCACCTATGAGTGAGTGACCTTCAAAATATCTTCTCTTTGACAGTTCTGCTGGCTATTGTAAACTCAAGCCTCTGGTACCTTTAAGGAGTCAGGCCATCTCAAATATTGTCTTCATATTTTCCTGCTGCCTTTAACTTTTCCCAATATTATAATTTTTTTCCAGAGAATCCTGCCTTTTCATGATGTGCCCAGAGTATGGCAACCTCAGGCCACAGACACACTAGAGAAATGCCCCCCTCCTGTTTTTTTCATGTGTCCTGCTTCTTGTATAATTAC